TCAAACACAAAACAGATGGTGAAATCTAAATCAAAGTAACAAAAACCAAATGATTACAGAATGGGAAAAAAAGAAAAGACTCAAATTTTAAACGGTACACGTCACTAAACACACAACCACCCCACTAAATATCTTACTATAAGAATCATCAAAGCACTAAGACACAAAACACAACAAAAAACACAACAACAAAATAAGAAGAAACATGAAGTATTATAACTTTCTTGCAGTGGCTTTGATGAGTCTTCTGATGACATCGGCTTCCATTGAGGCGGTCGGGGAGTGTGGTCGCATGCCGATTGGTCAAGCCGCGGCTAGCCTAAGCCCGTGTTTACCCGCTACAAAGAACCCGAGGGGCAAGGTTCCACCGGTTTGTTGTGCCAAAGTAGGTGCTCTCATTAGAACCAACCCTCGTTGTCTTTGTGCTGTTATGCTCTCTCCTATAGCTAAGCAAGCCGGGATCAATCCTGGGATCGCAATCGCTATTCCAAAACGCTGTAACATCCGCAACCGCCCCGCTGGCAAGCGATGTGGACGTATGGATTCGATTCTTCAAAATCTCATGAGTAAAAATGTATAACATCAACTTTGTCTTCACTTCCTATTTTGATATCTTTATGTTTTTTGCAGGTTACATTGTTCCATGAGGAAATAATGAACGTTACGGTGGGATCTTTTGGGATCAAACTGATAAGGAGATCTTACGATTAAAAATAAATGTTGTCACTTATTATCTTTTTATAGATGAAAAAATGTGAACTATATCACTATGACCTACTGTTGGACTATATCATATATAAATGCATGTATTTATTCATCACAATAATGTATATGAGAGGGTTACTTGAAGTAACTTACTTCGATCCGATTTGTCCCAAAAACAGGATATCCAAGAGTTTTCAGATTCATAATTTGATAAAAAAATATATATATATATCAATATATTACTATCTATTTACTATTTATTTTGTATATGCATAAAAGATTTGATGGAAATCTCATATATTAATTAATTATAACTTAAAGAAATATTTACATACAAATATGAGGAATACTATACATGAATTGTCTTTTTCAAACCGAAACAAACAATTTTTCTTTTTGGATAACCCTTTTTTCCGGGGCCTGTAAATATCATTGACCGATTTTCTTGAAATTTGCACAACATAGAAAGGAAACAAAAAAAACTCTCTTTTAATTCAATGACGAACGTTTAGCAGTGATTGTGGTGCAGAAACCCGTACGGTTAAGTGACTTACAACTAGAAAACAAAATTGAAATCAATTTATTCCCAAAAAAAAAAGGATTGAATTAGTCATTATGATAATATTATAAAACCCACAAAAAGAAATCTACCAATGAACAACAATTAAATCGCAATAGAAGAATCTTTTCAGTTTTCAGTAAACGAAATAATCCAAGATTCACTTTCCACGTGGCGAGTTAATAACATTCCACGTGTAATTACAGTCAAACCAGTCAACGCCACAACGGATATTCTCTTGTCTCCCGCCTTTCTTTATAAAAAAGCACCAAAGAAAACAGAGCTTATCTCTGCAACTCTGCAAACAAAAAAACTCCATCTTTAACCTCTGTAACAA